AATGTGTCGCTCTTCACTCAAAAAGCGTTAAGACCTGGCGCCCCATCCGGCACCCTTCGGGTCCGGGCAGCGAATGGACGCCACGCGGCGCGTGGGTCTCGGCCGGTGCAGCACCACTCGCCCCGGGCGCTGACCGGGCGCGTCAGCTGGCCAGCTGCTCTGCTCGCGCTCGCCGGCAGAGCCGAGTAGAAGTTCCTACTCGTGGAATCGGCACCGTACCATGAATTGTTTACTATTTAGTGTTCGTGTGTGCCAACTGCCAGCGCCCTTGCAAACGCGTTAGATTCAGGGGGGAGGGGGGTAGGTGATCACATTATATTGATGCCAGCTTTACCAACAGAAAAGTCGCCGGCCGCGGTTATTTTCTGCATGAACTCGTCCCCGAATTTTGACAGACACGCAAGTAAAAGAAATGTTGATGCGAATATCAGCTAGCCTAATATGTTTTCACATCAGCGGTTGTTGTTTTTTTTTTCTCTCATTTTTTACAAGGTTGATTAAACCTCGATTATTTTTAATATCAAAATAGCAGCCAGCGATTTTTGTTTTAACTTGCCTCAAACCAAGGCTGTAAACCAGGTAGAGCGCTCCCGACGAAAAACTGGGGACAAAATGAATTAAGTAACCGCGACTCTGGGGACCAAACAAACTCAGGTTGCCATGGTAACGGGGCAGCTTTGGCATGAGTACGCATCTAACAGAGCCTATTTTAAGGGAATTTGACTGGGGGGGCAACCTGGAAAATTGTCTTTAATAATCCATTAACCCTCGCCCGTATTGGTGTTTCCAGTAGCGAGCGTATAGGGGGGGGGGGGGTCCGTTGGACCCTCCCCCTTGCCGTTTCGCCCCTGATCGAGCTAGAGCTTCGCGGAAAAAAACGACCGTGGTGCCCGTGATAAAAGGAAGCCGATTATACCCAATTTTAAGGTCCTAGGTCATCGGTTGACCTTCCAGGTCAGGTCATTGACCCAAAAGTCGGGAAAATCGGGACCTGTTAGAGCGTCGTAAAGAGTGGCTGCTATGGTTTTTCGGGGTGCTGATCACGAATATCATGTTAGTTATGATCATAGATGATGTCTTCATGCATTTAGGCCAGGTCAGGTCAGGTCAGGTCAACCAGTAAGGGTTTTGCCGGGTATTCGTAGTAGGTGGCAACCGCCTCTGACAGCTTCGTAACATGTTACGAAGGCACCAAAACTACTTCGTAAATGGTCAAATGGTTGCTTAATTCGAATTCAGCTAAAAAAAACTAGCCTAGAAAGTAGAAACATATAAAACTCGAAAATGTGAACCGAGATCATCAAAGGTAAATGATCTGACCTGACCTTCCGGCAGGGCATATTTTAACAAATTTTTACTGCGTCCCAAAGTTGAGCAGAGGGCACGTGCTACGACTAAGGGCACAGGACAAGGAGCAGAGGAGGGCACTGAGGAGGGCAGAAAGTAGAGCACGGCAGGTTACAGGGCATGGCACAGGACATTTTAGAGGGAAGGGTGCAGCTCAGGGCACACAGCAGGGCACAGGTCAGGGAACCGGACAGGGCATAGGGCAGGGACGCAGAGGGTCAAATCAGCAGGGGCTACGTCCCAAGGCGAGGGGGCTGCGTCCCAGAATGGGACGCAGTAATTGCCTTAAAATATGCCCTGCCTTCCGGTGATCTTGACACCCACCCTAATGCATGGGAGCTACATCATATCCCATGTTTGAACGTTTGAAACCACGAAAAGACTGCAAACGCGCGGCTAATGCGAGGCGACATACGCCGAATCGCGACCTCGGCCAAACATGGTGCCATGGTGCTAGGCCGCCGGTGCATCTGAAAGAACTGTGGTGCCCCTGACAAGCCTGAAGTTCCAACGACAGGCCCGTGGTGCCCCTGACAGGCCCATGATGCCTTTGCGAGGCCGGTGGTGTCCACGTGAGGCCGGTGGTGCCCCTGGGCCCTGACAGGACTGTGGTGCTCCTGACAAGCCTGGAGTGTCCCCGACAGGCACGTGGTGCCACTAACAGGCCCAAGGTGTCCCAGTCCCTGCGAGGCCGGTGGTGTCCCTGCCAGGCATGTGGTGTCCATACTAGGCCTCTGGTGCCCCTGACAGGTCCGTGGCGCCCTTGCTAGGCCTATGGTGCCTCTGGCAGGCCTATGGTGCCCCTGGCGGGCCTGTGGTGGTACCCCTGACAGGCCCAAGGTGGTGCCCCTGCGAGGCCGGTGGGACCCCTGGCAGGTCTGTGGTGCCCCTGGCAGACCTATGGTGCTCTTGCTAGGTTGATGGTGCTCCCAACAGGCCTGTGGTGCCCCTGACAGGCCGGTGGTGCCCCTGGCAGGCCTGTGGTGTCCCCGGGCCCCAAGAGGGTGGGGGTCATGACCCATATGACCCACCCTTAGATACACCGCTGGTCATTACTTACAGACTGACTCATTTGACATCCATTGCAAAACAAGTCACAGTAGTTACGTAGTATGTTTGTCACCCTGTTCCTTTATGCCCATTTTTATAGTGGGCAAATCTCGACGACTAGGGGGGCAATTCTGTTGAGTGCGGGGGCATTTGCCCCCCCAGTTAACATGTTAAAATAGGCCCTGGCATCTAATAACTTATTTTTTAACGAATTATTTCAGAAAAAAGCAATAACACTTGTCGGACCACTACTAAAATTAATTGCAGTTTTCATAAACGATCCGAGTTTTTATCAGACTGGCATAAATGATGTCAACATCAGGTCCTAAACTGAACTGCTGTTAAAGGTTACATCTAACGCTCTGGCCCCCAAAATCGTTACTGGCTTATCAGCCAATGAGCGTCGAGTATTGCCGTACGCTGACTGGTGGGATTACTGCATTTATTGTTTAGAATGCTCACGATGCTGACAGCGCTAGTTAGGGTGTCTCCACTTATCGTAGGTAATGTTAAAAGCCCGGAGCGCACCCCCTGCCTCAGACCAAGATTCCCACTGTCAAGACCGGTGACCCTGCCGACGGACCTGACAGTTATAACTGCGCCTGACAGCGCCCACTGATTCTGCAAGCCTTAAGCCTGCAACCAACATGCTCTGCGTTACGGTGACCTAGGCAGGGGCGCCCCGGCGACTACTGATATCGTCTGATGACCGACATCGAACTGCAGATTTGTGATTTCACTCGCCACAGCCATCCGTGCAACTGGCGGTCAACTGGCGGTCGACGGAACGCGCGTCGCGCGATGAATCCGACTACAGAAGCGGCGGCTGCCCTGCACCAGGAGCACAGCGACGGGACGGCCGGAGCAGGGTGGCGTGAGTCTCCCACAAGCTGGTGTTTAGGCGTCATGGTCCGGGCAGGCCACCGCCATAAGATACTGGCTGATCGGAATAGAATTAATGATAACCTTGTGTTCATGTCTTCAAAGGTCTTAACCCTATTCCTGGCGGGGGGGGGGCGGCCTCAGGAGCCCCCCCCCTGAGGTTTTTTGGTTATTTCTCCCAAACGCGTTGAGCTAGGAAGCTCAAATTTTCTGACTTTTCCTAAAAGGCTTTTACGCAACATGTCTGAAAATTTTGAGATGATCTGACCTCAGGTCAGGTCACCAGAGGCGGTTTGGTGACCCTACCTCAGAAAAGTTTGCAATCACGCCAGAGCTAGAGTTTTTGACCGATCAATTTCTTCTCTTCAGGGTTTAGTTAGGGTACCAGTATGTGCAATTTGTATATCTCGGAATTTTGATATCGGTGACCTAAGGTCAGGTCAATTTCGCGACCTCCCCATTATAAGTCAATGGGGGAAAAATCAACTCCCTGTTTTTACCACTAAAACGGGTCGGAATGGCCCCATATACCATACATGACTTCATATACGATCAACCTTCACTACCTTGAGGTCTGTTTTGCTGTTGGGCAGCTGTGAGGTCATGTGACGTCATCAAAGGTCACCAAAGGTTTTTGGCCAATAACTCCGTACAGGAACAAGATACAGACGCGTGGATGGTCTCATTGTGTTCAGCTCGTCAAGACGCATCGAATGATATACATGATGACCTCGAGGTCACGTGACCTGAGGTCAACCTTTGACCTTGACCTTTCGAGGTCAACATATATATCATTCGATGCGGATTGACGAGAGGATCACGATGATGCCCTTAGTTTGTTCCTATCTTGACTAATTCGAAAGTTATTCGAGAAAAACTCTCTCCATATCTAGCGCCGCCATTTTGACTTTTTCGACCCCTGTGACGTCATCTTTGACCTGACCTGAAAATGACCTTAGTAAAAATTGTAGATCTTGGCCGTGCGTATCCGATGCCGTTTACCGCTTGTCGCTATCATGCTTCGTTCTCGAGATCTCAGGGGGGGGGGGCGAATCGGCCCCCCCCCGCCAGTTTCTTGTCCCGGCGGAGCCCGCCAGGAATAGGGTTAAGGGGCGGGAAAACTAAATCCATTTTTTTGTGAATTTGGTGAAATTTTGAGGATCAATTTTCAGCCCTTTTTAGACATGAGCACAAGGTTATCATCATTTTTGACATTGTCAATCATAACAATGCCACAAAAAAACGTTTTAAGACATCACAAGTAAGTGGACTGAGCACTGAGTAAGCAGTAGCTTATAGCTTGCGAAGCAAAAAAAAAAAAAACGGTGAATAGATACCGGAACTAAAACAGAGTTGTAAAACTGTTAAAGCATTGTTACATTGTACGGTTATTCGTTCAATGCGTTTCAGGTGTCGATTGTGACAGAAACACCGACTTCAAAAATTATTTAAGAGCATCTGCAATTGTGTTAATGGACATGCGCTTAGTTATAGGAAGGAAAATGGGCATTGGCGCATTTAAAGATTCCGTATGATTCTCGGGAAATTTGAAGACGACTGAAAGAATTCTGTGGGTCGTGGCAATGGTCGCTCGCTTGATTCAAAACATCGGCAAACTGGACCGACTTGCCGGCTCCTCTCGGACGAGTGCCCGGCGGCTCAGCGCTGCCTGCTGCGGTGTGTGCTGGTTTGTGTATATGTGTACACATGACGTCACTCACCGCCTGTCGGGGACGGCTGGGCCTGCTGGGGCTGCGTCGTGCTGGCCGCGCTGTGACCGCACACTATCACTGACGCCGCCGAGCCCGACACCGGCACCGACATGGCCCACCCTGTAGTGCAGTTCTCACGCGCAGCACTAGCTCAGCAGCACACCACTCTGCTCCCAAGCAGCCCAGTCAGCCCCGGCCGGCGTCCGAGTCGCCTCTGCCAGAGGGCCCCCGGAAACGGCGCCGGGACGCGGCGACGCCACGCCGCTGCGGCCAATGGCGGCCGCCGATAGCGGCGACACACCCCCTGTGACGGCCGACCGAGACGCGGCGCGCGTCACGTTGCACTGGTCTGAGGAGGCCACGGCGGGCGGCCAGCTGTCGCCGTCAAATGCAAACAACTTGATATGCTAGGCACTAGGCAGTAGGCACTATGTCGCCATCACAATCAAATAGATACACGACGATGAGCGATGGCCCTGAAAAGCTAGCTCACAACGCTGTTTTGTTGAGTTGACGAAATAGAACTACCAGTCCTGTCCCTTTGCGGCAGAGCCACTGTTCATACGAGGGGTATCGAAGAGCTCTGATTAGCACTTGAGTTAGAAATACTGGGCACCGTCAGTCGGAAAGTCATTTCTTCTACAATAGAAACGAAATATACCATTCGAATGCTGACAGTGAGTTGATTCAAAAAATGAAATTTTATCAAAATCATTCAATAGCCGTTTTCATAAATAATGTTTCATAAAAACGTAATAGCTTTTTATTCAATACCTACGCTGTCAGTTGTCACGGATATGATTAAAATCATAAACATCTTTTTTCGTGTACCAGTAAAAGTTTAATGTAGAAAAAAACAATATGTAGCGAATAAATATTCTCAGATATCAACACGCGCCGTAGTGGTGGTCTTAGTTTTCCGTGTAGTGCTGAAAAGTTTTCACGCCCCCCGTCTAACTCTGCTCCTGGGCCAAATAAGGGACATTCAAAAGCGAGTCATAAATAATGACAGAAATACAGTCAATTCTTAGGTCAGGTCATAGATAACAGTAGAACTGGATTTGACACGAACACTGCCTATCTGCAGTAGGGGACCCAAAAATGTCAATGATATCGATCAGCCTCGGAACGCAACCGCATGTCGCAGAGGCATGCGGTTTTCTGCTATGAGTAGCCCCATTGGCCCCGCTTCATTCACTAGTATTGGCTATTCATGTGTGAGGTGCCCACAAGTCGGAATCACGTGCCTCGTGGTGGTGTCCACAGGGGCCTTTTCGCCTCTCCTCTGAAATGAACGGTCCAATCCCAAGTAAAATATACCTACGTGTATATATCGCAGTTTTCATTAATATATATTTGCGAAATTTATTTCCTGAATATATAGCTCTAATTGCGCCACTTCATGCAATCAGGCCTGTGTATTGGAAGTTATATTTTTCCGACATATATTAAATAACCAGCATGTTTAGATAAACAACCAAAAAAAAAAAAATATACAGCCAGCATGTCCAGTATGCTCAGCTCATCTCTGTTTGGGCCTTACCAGCCTGCATGCGGCTCTTAGAATCACGTCGTAGGGCACGTCCTGTGATCCGTGTGCCTTGGTGACACAGGGAGGCCAACCTTGCGGGGCTAACAGTGTATCAATTGTTCAGTTGACTTGCCTTTTTCAGCCAGTCTGCCCTTTTCCATACTTCAAAGCGTGCTGACGGTCGCTCATGGCCTCCTGCTTGAGGCAGCCAGCTGAATAATCTTAGAGGCGCGTGGGGGCATCTGACGGCCCAGGGCACTTAAGAGTCGGGTACTCCAAAGTTTTTCCTAGTATATACTAGAATTATACTATATCATCTAGAAAAACAACTAGAACTGGGAGCTTTTTACTATATACCGAAAATTATCCTAGGATATGGCTGCGCTGAAGCGCGGCGCAGCTGGCGCTCGTGTTTCAATACATTGCGCTTCATATTTATACACAAGGCGGCCTGTGGTTTCACGCGGTTCCATGGTGTTCTCCCTACATTTAAAGACTTACAAATTGTGCTGGCTAAGTATTTAATAACTATCGTGTGTATTAAAAAATTGGCTCTTCATTATGCATGGAATTGTGTGAACAAAGGCCTTTCTGAGTAACTGTGTACAAATTTGCGAACTGCTGTACTTGACTGCTGGGTGGTGGGCCAGCCCAAGCCTCATGCTTTCTCATTCTTTCACTGTTGCGTAGCAATGTGTTAAAAAAGAAGTTTCAAGGAATTTTATCAATTGTGATGCATGGCGACACCTTTCGACTTATCTGTGAGCATATTTGGTATAATCGTATTGCAAAGATTGCGTACACCGGCTTTATCTATTTGCAATGGCAGCTTTCGTACGACATTTGTGAATTGTCTTTTCTATGTTGGTCGCTACTCGTTTGTATGTATTTTTAGAGCCCTGACAGGCTGATGAAGGATGACTGAAGTCTTCTGAAAGCTATCATTACTAAGAAATGAAGCTGGTGTTATGAACAGTGAACAGTGTCCCAAAATTTTATTTCAGAGTGAAAAATTGTTCTTGAAAATTGGAGATGAAAGTGGAAAATTGATTTCAGTTGGATGTTACTTCCCACCCAAATTGGCAAATTTTGGGACATTGGTTTTGAACAAACTTAACAATACAATATCACTGTCCCAGGCTCCAGCTGAATAACATCAACATATAACATAATACTTTGTGTAAGCATCTCGTACAACTGTGTTGCTGTGATAATGAAATCAAAACACATGCATCCTGCATCGATGAAAGTGGATAGTAAGTAGAAAGAAGCATTTGTTGTCACATGTTAGTGATAATTGTGCAATTTCTTGGTATTTTAAGTTTGTATGAAAACGCGTAAAATTTAGGTGATTGAAACTAAACATGGAAGATGATTTTTAGGTCAATTTTTACTTTTTCTTTTTTAATGCTGTTCTTGATATTCCACTTCACTCAAAACACACCAGTTCATAAGTTATTTCAGGGCTTTCACAATAGCCATGTCTTTGTGGTCAATCATCCTCAGAGCAGCCTGAGTCAATTCCATTCATGACTTCCTTAGCCATATATCTCTGATCCTTTTTCAGGACAAGACATGCACTACTACATATGCTGTGCCTGGCTCAAGATTCCTATATGTAGCAAGGTTGCCCTACCGACACTGGCAAAATGAATGCTTCCTTGAACAAAGCTAACCAAAGGTGCCATCAACTGTCTTAATCTGAACAGGAAGGAAGCCTAGTTTTCAACATAGACAATGTGACTTTCAGGGTGTGCACCACCCGGTGTTCATTTGTTGACATCAATAATGTGTGACCACGAAAGGAAACCCTTCTGAAGGTAACATCTCTCGACCATTCTAAGATCCTGTCCACTACCTTAATATTAACAGGTCTTTTAAATAACCATGCATTATTCCTCTGATAATGCTTGTTATGTTTTCAAATAGGTTCATTTTCTTTCATCCTGATTTTTCAAAAATAAGTATCACTTGAGTTTGTTTTTATTGCAAGTGTGATGCATGTAATTTCATCTTCCTGTTTTCTCAGATCGAAGATCTTGCTCGCAGCTATGCCTCATTGCCTATCATGGCCAAAACCTCTTTGAGGTTTACTGTAGGTAGTGTTCTCCATCTGATTGTTATGTGTTGAGGATGAGCTGAATGTTACTGATATTGATCCCTGATATCTAATTGTGGTCAATGTTTAATGTAACACCGTGACATCTTCCAATGCCAAAGTTTACTTCCAACGAGCCAAAGCTTGTTTGCATTGCAATTACGAGCGGTAGTGTGACGTGTGGAACGTGTAGTATGTACGATTGGGAACCACTTACTCTGTAACCCAAAGTGGCATGTTTGCATATATGAGAAGCATATATGAGAATGTTCAGTGTTCATCGTCTTTAGATAATAAAAGCATTTGCATACCAGGAAGTGGATTGTTCGGTGGTCGCCTAAAATGGTATTAGAGCTGCAATTTTGACACCATCGTGTTCGTCATGCTCAGCCACGTCGAATGATATGCTTTTTGTATGGGTGAGGTCAATTTAGGATGTTGACCTCCGTCCAAGGTCAGGTCAGGTCATTACCTCATGATGAGGTCAAGTTGCACGTTATTCAATTTGGCAGGTCTTTCTGAGTCTATTTGTGTCTTTTCCGTCTAAGATCACTGTCAGCGCCAAAATAACTGTCTATATCCCCCCCCCCATCGGCTTATAATGGCCAGATCACCTGACCGACCTGATGTTAGGTGACCCTTAGGAGAAATCCGAAGTTAACGACTTTTGAGAATAAGGGAGTTTGATAAGTTCTGTAAGTTTCATCTACCTGTGATAGATCTCCTTGAATTGATGGAGTTGCTATGTTACGACGTTTTTGAGACCGTGCAGAGGTTCACTTATGACGTCATAGGTCAGTGACCTGACCTGACCTGAAAATGAGGTTGGTGTCACAAAATCCGGCTTGAATCAAAGGTCAGGTATGCCAACTTACAACCCTCCATCACCAGCGCGCTCACCCCTACTTTACTTTGCAGCAATGGTTTGCCGCACATTAACGATAAATGTTTTGGTCTGTCCGAGATTCGAACACAGGACCTTCCGATGTATCAAAAACATGGGGTCATATGTGGACGAATATCTCGAAAACGGTTGGATGGGCTTGAACTTTTCATCCCAAAAATGGAAATAAAAATGTTGTAGCTATCTTTTGACATACTTTGTATGTGGATGCCCACACTACGAAACCTTGAAAACCGAGCGCGAAAAGTCGCATTTTAACACGCAACCCTATGGGCTAGTAGGAAAAGTCACGCCCATGCTGCCATATGACTTTGGAGGGGGCTGGTACGACCATGTATCGGACCTGCTGGATAACTTGGGCTGGCTCAGCGCTGAGCAGCTTGCACAGTATCACTCGCTGTGCCTGCTGCACAAGGTGCGGCGATCAGGCGAGCCAGAAACCCTGGCTGCCCAGCTGGTGCAGGTATCGCAGACGCGGCAGCGATCCACCAGACAGGATCGCAATCTGTCAGTCCCACGATCGCGGTCAGCGATGGGGCAGCGCCGGTTCTGCTGCCGGGCGCCCCTCGCCTACAACCAGCTCCCGTCAGAACTGACGCGTCTACCGGCCCACCTATTTGGTCGGCACCTCCAATCCCACCTACGGGGAGGCGAGGTGACTTAGACAGCGGCCATGAGTCTGTATGAGTGCATGTGTATGTTTGTTTGTGTGTACGGGCTTTGAGCGTATTTATCACGTTATTTTATGTTATGTCTCCCATGCAGAGTTTTAGCCCTGTACGAGCGGCCGTAATAGCCACGAGTGTATCGTGGATGGCTTCAATACACGTCTATGTCTATGTCTATGAGTGAGGCGCCCACTCCACTTCCGCCTTCAGGCTGATGAGCCGGCCGGGGAAGTTTTCCTGCAGCCAAGCCATCGGTTCACTGGCAGTGTGGGGAGTCGCGCCGTCCTGTTGCACCCACACTCGTTTCATGTTCACGCTGTCCCGTCGTTTGAGCTCCTTCCAGAACGGCTTCAGGGCGGTGTTC